CAAGGTTGAGGTGCATGATAAAACTATTGGTCTATAACTAAGACATATCTTCTCATTAGGCTATCTGAAAGGGAGGACGAGAAACAGGGTGTCAGAATCGTGACACTTGACAGTTGACAGTGGGTCATCCAGCGACAATCAAGTCAAAATCGGCACCAGACTACGGTAAAAGGTGCCTTCGTCAGTAAAGTCCGGAGTTCTGAGGGCGAGCCAGTGGAAAAGGTCAACCATTCTCTTGGGTCAGAACAGTCCGTACTCATCTTGACATCTTTGGAACCAGGCCAGGTTCGTAACATGATTGGCTTGGGAACGCTCAGCTGTCTTCTTCGGGGCTTCTCTATGTCCAAGGAGAAACGTGGTTGTGTGATTGCCCGGCCACTTCAGTCCTTGACTGGCTTTCTGGGTGAATCTAAGGTGACTGAGTTCAGACCCCATAGGTAAATCCTGGTAGGCTTGACCAGCTGGTGTAAAATTGACTGTATAGAGTTTAATGCTCAGCTGCGTACAGAGCTGATTTGGCAGGTAATTCATTAGCAACTACATCTATAAGTGACTCAGTAACTCCCAACTTCCCACTACCCTATCAGCAAGCATTATTGATTGAGGTAACATCCACCTAGATACAAGAGAATCACTGCGGCTTCATGCATACAGACCATCTCCCGGTCGATTGACTGAGGATAACAGTTCCAGGTTACATTACTGGTTTGTTCCAATCAAAGTATCAGCCATGTGAACTCAAATACTACCTACACAACAGGAGCACCGACGTTATCTCTTGAGCGCTTGACTGTACTCCGCCGATTTCCTCGTCGTAGATTAATTTACTTACCAGCGGAAAAAGAAAAACAATCAAGTTGCGGTGGGGGGCTGGCAGGCTAAACACACCAAGTGGGACGCCCAGGATTCAAGTACCCAAATATGTGAAGACTCTGCTCTCTGAGTGGTCCACTCCTGGCACACTGTTTGAGATCACCCACCGGAACTGCCATATTTGGCCAGGAGTATGCGGGGACAGCCCCCGTTAGTGTGGCTGGTCAAGCAGGGCTAACTTGCTAAGAATGTCCACTGGTAAATCAGGGAGCGCTGGAATTGTGCAAGTGGGAAAAAAAAAGGCATCTCTTCGGGGTTTCTTGAGCCCTGCGGCCAATCCCGGGCTCCACAAGCCCTGGTTTTTGTGGATTATTTATTATTGGATTTTGAGAGAATAATAATCCGAAATCAAATTTTGAAAAAATGATCTGTTTTCTGTTTGAATCACTGACCGTCTGAGAATGGTCAGCAGGGTCATCATCATCGGCCACTGTCGGTCTGTTGTCGTATTTGCAATTGCGTATGATCTCTGTCTCTGATTTCCCTGGAGGTACTCCGTAAGGTAGGAGGTAGTCTGCCTCCCCGTGGCCTTAATACAAGGCTTGAAGCTGTGTGCCTCAGCCTCCTTTATCCATAATAATCTCCTCAGGTGTCCATCTTACTCATCTTCCTAAGGTATTTCCCCATCACACACATTTGTTTCCTCGTCAGGCCATGTTCTTCCACCATTGGGCTTCTTAGTAGTCAACTCACTCCTGCAACATCAAACAAACCCTTGTCGTCGTCTCCGTCAATACCACCGTTGCTTGGCCACCGTCTTGATTTAAGTCCTTGGCCTCCCCTGGTCGGTGGACAAAGTGGTTCGCAAGAGCACCAATAGTCGCCATTTCCTCAAACCAGAACAGTTTAGACACATTTGCGCAACGGACGGTCTGCGCCTGTGCCGTCTAAGCGCGGAGGGGACTCTCACTAGCATCTCTTTCTGGTTTCTGCACTCCCTTTCTCGTTTTGCCCCATAGCAATAGTGGTATTAAGTGGTTGTGGGCTTTATCATGCTTTAAAGGGTCTTTCGACTTATTTATCTCCTCCACTTGGCCTTATTTTCGCCTTCATCCCTCTGCTCCTTGTTGCGTCTATCCCTTCAACAACCTGTCCGACCGACCGGGTTAAACAACCATAACATCAGCAACACGGTAATGAGCATGCCAGTCGTCTCTGGCCGCTGCTCCGTCATCAGTCTCATCTAGATATTATAAACATATCGATCGCTCTCGTGAAACTGCTTTGTCCCGACGGTCGTGGCATTATCAATGTCTCTACAACTCGGATCAGGGTCGGTCTTTCGACCTGGCTGGATGCTCTTAATATTGGTATTGGCCGCTGTGCCGTCAGCCATCGCCCAGTTTTGCACCTTTTGGGACGGTGGCTGCGTCGATCCTCTCGCTCAGACAGCCATCAACTTCGATTTCCCTCCTCTATTCCGCGATGATATCACTCTGTACTATGGCTTCGACGCGAATCCCTCGGGCAAAGGGCAAGAGCCTATGGTCAAGGCCAGTTTCTGGCTTGCATACGACCCGCATCGCATCGACAACTCCGTCATTACTGCAAATCGAACCTCCGAGATTGCCTTCAGGGTAGGGAATCTAACAGGGACGCCGTCTGGACCTAGTAACGGCTGCGATGGTGTTTGGGGACCTCAGTGTACACACGACCTGAAGGAGTTGCTCAAAGGGGCCATCTATGAATTGACGGCCAGGGGGGACTATACGTACCCGCTCCAAACCGTTATCAGTCAAATGCTCGTCAACCCACCTGTTCTCTCCAATTGCCCACCGCCCTTCTTCGATGTGCAGTCATTGCCTGTGCAGGGTATGTGACTCGGCTCCGATTTTACCTATTTGTTCTCTGACATTAGCTCACACTGAATAGCATTCGCTCAAGAGACCGAGCCTGATAAGACTGCTACTGTACAGACGCCTGGATTCGGCGGAAGCCCGTGGAAGACGTGGTTCATCGATAATATGACGTCCAGTCAACAAGCCGAGCAGGTAGCGGTCGCCATTCTTAGCCGAGCCCCATCTTCCAACGCCTATTTGATGCACGGCAAGGATGACATTATGATTGAGCTTGTCTGCATCCAGGCACCTTCTTCCGGGAGTCCGTCGTCCAGCCAAGACGGCTGAGAGTCTCAGCTAGGGGACACGTCTATACTGCAGCACCGGAGATCGATCCATTGATACAACCCTCGATGGTCCAGCCGAAATTGAGTCCATCCCAGGGCTCTATCGGACGCTCGTTACGCCCGTGCTAGGATTCCGTTCACGCCTTATCGTTCAATCCCAAAGACATCACGGTGTTTTCATGGCATACCATGTTTGTCGCTTCCACGAGTGAGACTTTGGGAGTCCTCCGTCAGAAGTACTGCCCAACCAGACCCTATGCGGTTCAAAGGGTCAGTCAATGCCACCGCCGAGCACACAATTGCACAGGGTGCCGCTCGTTTGCATTAGTCCAGGTGGACTCGGGCCTTACATATGTTACTCCTGAACATCTCGACACTGAAACCCTTGATACTCGACCCACCTGTCTAGCGAACAGGGCCGTTCATTTTTTGGTACCTGTGTGGGCTTTGACAAAGACCTCTCGTGTTGAGCAACCAGCGGGCGGACATGCCTTGACGCATGAACAGGAACATGTCTAATGATAACATGACAAGGGAGGAACCCCTCTGGTTACAAGTTGTACTCAAAACGTTGCGATATATTAGAATCAACCCTTATCCACACGTTCCGATATCTTGAAGGTCGACCATATACTCCATAATCATCATACCCAGTGACCTCGGCCAACGTTCTGCACCATTTGGATGTCGCCTACAGTGTCGGCCAATCCAAGTCAACCGGCTCCAAATCACCAGGTCCGCGGAAATTCTCCACAATCTCCGCCTGCTCACTTATGAGATTCCGATCCGTTTGAATCCCGATCTTCGCGAGACCCCTCCACCGCGCCAAGTCGTCCGCATTCCGCTTGTCCCCATGCGCAGCCTCGGCATTCTCCCAGTGCCCTTTGGAGAATCCCATCAATGTAGTGATGCGCTTTCTGGGGATATCATATACAAGCGAGCAGATGGTCCCAGTCTCTTCCAGCCAGTTGCACTGCCATAGCTCGCCGGGCCGGATGCATTGGTACGTGGCTGCTTGGAAATTCTTACGACCTGCCATGGGCCCGCCGTGGATGGCATAGACGATCCGATCCTCGTTATAGAACCAGACTTCATAGCGCCATTTTTCCGGGTTGCCGTGGGGGTCCTGTGCGGCATAGTCGTATACAAGGTGACGATCGCGGATGTCGGTGTCGAAGGTTGAGTCTTTGAGGGAGGGAACGACGGGCATTTTGATTGCAGTGACAATTGCAAATAAGCTAAAGGGATGCAATGATATCTTCTACCGAACGTCTGTAATTTCTGTCAGTTTTCAGAATCTATCTCCCTCCTGTAGGGAGCTGTTAATGTATATATCTAGAGCCCCCACTACCGAAGTCTAAAACCGATAGGATCGCCTCTGCCCGTTCTTGATACTGGCCTCGGGCTTTGAGTCGTGTGGATGTGCCGGAGTCTAGCAATGACATCATGACCGCGCGGATCAGCCTCGGATATGGAGATCTGACATGTTGAGGGTGCAATAGATAGATAGGCTTTGCCGACGCAATACCTTACCGCCTGTATCCTGTGAAATATACTACATTGCTGGTTGTTAGGCTTGGCCTGGGCACTTACGCGTGGTGATTGGTAGACGACATTGCTGTCGATGTATAGATACAGAGGCCTGGAGCATGAAGACTCGGACCGTATGGCGTCGTTGACATCGTTAAATTATCTCACAGCAAAACTCTTTGCTAAACGGATAGACAGATATCAAGAATGATGAGTTCTTCCAAGGTTCTATCTGTGAGGCCTGTTTGCCCATTCAATTGGACGATCAACCCCACGTGTATATCACCAACTGGTCCGAAACGGGAAATCTGCTTGTTTACCCCATCACATCGCGAATTCTTGGTAGAGCTTGATTCAGCTACAGGCCGAGACAGAGCAGGAATTGATTCCATGAACGTCTATAAAACTGATCACTTTCTTGGAATGATTTCTTCCTGTCGTTTATAATTCTGTCAAGTCCTTCCCGGCTGCAATGAAGTGGCAGGCGATCCTTGCCTCCCTCCCGGCAGTTCCGAGTCAAGATGTTTCATCTCTCCCCGGCGCATCCTCTTATGTTGCACCGGCTGGGTTTCCGACTTCGGCGTTTTCGTAAGTCTGGATGAACCAGCAATGCTTAGTAGCTGACTTGCGTCCGTACAGCTCCTACTATTACCTCCCAGCAGAGCCCACTCAGCAGCCCCAGCCGGTGATTCATGATCCTGTGCTGAATACTACTTTCCCATACAATCTGACCAATCCCAACACTATACCAACTGAGAACAACGACCCAGTGGTCTTCCCGACCCCTTCAAAGAAGCTCTCTGACAGCCAACAACATGAGCTCACCCAAGCCGTGGTGGCTAATGTAACCAGCATTATCAATGGCAATGCTACGCACGATAGCTGCAACAAATGTAAGGCAGCGTTGGCCGCAGCCAAACCTGCTGCATTGTATGCACCGACTCTAGTGCCCGAGACCCTGGAATCGCTCTGCAAGCAGTTCAGTTTCAAGTCAAATGCCACCTGCGAAGAAGATTATGCTGCGTCGGTCTTCGGCGCCGTCTGGACGCAAGTCCTAGCCTACGCTGATGTCCAGGGCCTTGATGGGGACTATATTTGCCATGCATTGAGCAAGTCCTTCTGCGGTCAGCCGGCGACAAGCCCCCTGGACACCGCTGGTCTTTTCCCGAAGCCCAAGCCAGCAGATCCTCAAGTTCCCAAGGCCAGCGGGAAGCGGGTCAAGGTGCTGCATCTTTCAGACTTTCATCTGGATCCGCGCTACTCGGTCAGCTCCGAAGGTAATTGTTCGTCTGGATTGTGCTGCCGTAACAACAACTTCAATTTTGCTGCAGAGGACCAGGTCCTTCTTCCTGCCCCGCCGTACGGGACTTTCAAGTGCGACACGCCGTATGATCTGGGTCTGGCTGCCCTTCAGGCGATTGGGCCATTGACGGGGACGGGGAAGGGAAAAGATAAGGATTCTCTGGCCTGGTCTCTTTATACTGGTGATCTTGTGTCGCACGATCCAGTCCAGGAAATGTCTCGAGAGTATGTAGAGTACACGGAGACTAGCATCTATGGCATGTTCAAAGAATACCTGACCGGACCTGTCTTTGCTGCGCTGGGTAATCACGATTCCAGCCCCGAGAACATCAATGCTCCTTACAATCTTCCAGGGCCTCTGGCTGAGCAACAGAGTTGGAACTACGAACATGTTGCCGGACTTTGGAAACATGAAGGATGGATCGATGAGAAGACTGCCCAGGAAGCGCGCACACATTACGGTGCATACTCTGTCAAAACTCACTACGGACTGCGCATCATTGCATTTAATACTGGTAAAGCACCTGGATACTGGTCATTATGTGAGGCACTGACTCTATCAGATTTTTGGTACGCGAAAAACTACTTCAACTTCATCAACTCCACCAATCCCGACAACTCTGGCGTCTTTTCCTGGATGATTGACGAGCTTCAAAAGGCCGAAGATGCTGGCGAGCGGGTCTGGATCATCGGCCATGTTCTCAGCGGATGGGATGGCTCCAATCCCCTCCCTGATCCCACCAATCTGTTCTACCAGGTTGTGGACCGCTACTCGCCCCACGTCATTGCCAATATCTTCTGGGGCCATACCCACGAGGATCAGTTTATGATCTATTATGCCAACAACGGCACATTGCAGAGCGCGGACACAGCCCTGACAACCGGCTGGATCATGCCCAGCATTACGCCATTGACGAACCTGAACAGCGGGTTCAGGATGTACGAAATCGATACTGGCGACTTCAACATCTACGAAGCGTACACATTCTTCAGCAACGTATCGGATTACACTTCACTCTCAGCAGTTGGGCCCACTTTCCAGTTTGAATACTCAACTCGTGCCACGTACGGTTCCGCAGCGGGCTGGGAAAAGGATGACCCCTTGAATGCCACCTTTTGGCATCGGGTGACGGAGGCTATGGAGAAAGATATTGACCTGGTGAGCTTGCATAATACTTATCAGGGTAAGATGAGCGTCAAATCTCCCAACTGCACCAATGTGGAGTGTCAGGAAGCGAAGATCTGCTACATGAGAAGCGGTAGCGTTGCTTTGGGGAGCCAGTGTCCTCAGGGGTGAGTTGCACTCTCTGTTGTCATATATGGATACTAATCGGTACAGATACGGCTCGGTCCAAAGTTCTTTCTCTTGAGCAGGAATTTAATACAACATACATGTATATACTGTGGGATATGTTCCCGATATTCTTGTATCACTAAAAACAAATCAACGCGTGCATCATCTATAGACATGGCCGTCCGAGAGGTTCACTTCTAGAGGGGCATCAGCTTGTTGCTCATGATTTCATTTGACAATGTTCATCGCCTCTTTATTTCTCGGCGTTGTCCAACGCCCGTTTGCTTCTCAGCCTTGTTCATCGTCTCTTGCTCCGCAGAGATATTCATCGTCTGCTGCAAGGACCCGCATGGTGAGTCTACAAAAGCTCGGCGTACAACCTCACGCCAACCCCATTCACACGCCTATCTATCATTCTGTATGCATCATTCTCTATGGATTCACCGGAAGTAAACATTTCTTATACTTGATTCACCGGATTAGACTGACTCACATCCTCCTGGCAGACATATAAAAACCCCCCAGACCCCAGGTCCGAACTCTCTTCTCTTCTCTTCTCTTCTCATCTCATCTCTCACGCTGCAAGGTTTGCAACTTCATCTTCTCCTACCCGGGTCGTCGGGCTAGCATTGAGCCCTATTCTCCTATCGGGTCCTTCTTCATCTTTCTTTCAAACCAGATTCGCGGCCTGCCTCTTTCAGAACCTCCCGTCGACTTCTGGTGGCCATGCAGAGATTCTGCTGATGAATCCTGCTCTTCTGTCTCTTCCAAAACCATTATCGGTTTTGGAAAGGCCCACCGGCGGAGATTCTGCTGATGCTGGTTGTCTGATCCGTGCAACGTGAACCAGCAATCGTCCCGAGGCAGACGCACCCGCGGAGGTTCTGCTGACGAATCGTGCGGTTCAGCCTTCGAACCGTCAGAATGGCGTGTTCAGCCATAGCCCACAACGGCGGATATTGAACGGGCTCACACGAAGATTCTACTCAAGAATCGTGGGTCTCGGGCTTTCTCTCGATGTGGCTTCTCGATTCAGACTCCAGAGGCACATGCAGATCTCCAACATCTTACACCAATGAGAAATGAGATATCGGTATGGTAAGTCTGATCCCACCGTGGCGGCAGGACGTGAGCTGACTTGACTTGAGTGAATTATGCCTCTCAGCTCGGTTACTGGCTGGTATGCCACCGGTTCAGTTATTTCTTCAACCGTCTGCTCCTCGGCCTGGGCATAGGGCCCAGGCTCTGTGGACGGCCTTCGGCATCTTCATGCCGTTTATCATCGATCCGGGTCTCGCAGGCGCAGAAGATAGCAATTGTGAGATTCTTTCTGAAGCTGGAGGCCAATTTTTCAAGCCGTCCAACCCGAAATTCGAATGGACGGAGACCACAAGGTTATTTGCGCGGGTATTTCTTCGCGTGGATATGTACGGGTCCACATGCTCGGACATCAACATCCATGGAGTTGTGAACGCAGGTCCAACTCGGAGGCGCTTGTTGAAATGTGATGGAGGCGTCATAGAATATTATCGCATGTCTTTGAAGTGATGACGACGGAATGCTCGATCATCCAAGCCCCATGGACTTGCAAACGCAGGTCAACTCGAAGGGGCTTGTTGGAATGTGTTGGAGGCCACCATCGAATATCATCGCATGTCCTTAAAGTGATGATAACGACATGCTGCGTGGCAGATTATTTCTTCACGTGGACGCATACGGGTCGACATGCTCGGATTTCAAAGTCCAATCGACACTTGCATAGGCAGGTCTCATCCAGGGGACAATGTTGGAACAGCCCTGAAGCCATAATCGAATATCATCCGACGTCCTGGTGGTAATGGTCAATTGCCCCATCCGTCGTGGAAAAAATGGGATGTCTCGAAGCGATAATAACTTGGGCCTCTCCTCTGGGTCCCGGAAACAAAGCAGCGACTGCTCCCGTGATGACGGCAGCGAACGGTATCGACCGGTGGTACACACAATCAGCAAGTGTTACTTGGCCCATCGCCATACTACGTCCCGGGCCTGATGGAAGATACGGCCCTCCAAAGTCGAATGAAGGAGTCAAGGAGAAAGAGGAGAAAGTGGACGACGAAGAGGATGAAGGAGACAAGAAGAATGAGAAGATGAAAGCAGTGGAAGACGAATTTACCGAGAAGTTCAAGATGGCATTACGCATTACTGCGTCAAAGTCATCAAGGAAGCAGATTGTACGACGAGCTGGGCATTATGCTTTGCAGACGACATCCAGCGTCAAGCACAGACTGCGCCGAAATCGAGTTGCAATCCGCAACTCACGAATCCCTTGGGAGTTCATTCTCAAGGATTGCTGCCTTGCCTCTCGTCGTTGAGAGCTCCGTTCCTACTTTGGGAGGGTCAGACACTCCTGAGCCTAAGGCGCCACGATGAATCGACGGTGTGGACGACAAGGACATGCCCTGCGGCTGTTCGTGCTGATATTCAGCCGCCTTCTGCTCATCAGGCCGCTATGCTTGCTTACCCTCAAATATTTCCTCCTCCGCAGGCGGCGCTGCTATGCCATTGCAGTCATGAAGACGTTATTGGCCATGGGCCCTACTTCTATGCATGTGGACTTGGTTACAGCGTTCACCTTCCATGTCTCTACTGCCTCCCCGCATGGCGGCGCTGCGTATGCGGCTTGGACACTCAAGGACCTGATTGACCCGATGTTGGGGGCGTCCCTTTGTTTTTATGCCGGACGCTGTGGTTCGCTTTCTTCTTCCTTCTCCGCATCAGCGTTGCCTATGCTGGCCGAACGCCACATAAACAGTTTTTCTTCAGTAACGGGTTGAACTTTGTTAGGAAGCCGGGCTTGGCAAGTGGTATGGCTGCACATGCAATGTGTGATTGGATTGTTCCACAACATTCAAGATAGATTGATGCTGTTCTGTATTTCAATTGGTACTTAAATGTTTTCTAAACAGCATTCAAGATAGTTTGATACTATACTCCTCTCATCAGTGCCTTCTTCCACTCAACTCAAATACACGTAGTCCACTTGCTAGAATACCTCCTACCGTGATACCGCCGAAGCCAATGACCACAGACAAGAATACAACCTCAAACATGCCCAAGGATACGTAACTTTCGTTCCGGCCGGTCTGAACTTTTCTCCCCGGGGGATATGCCTCCTTGCCGGTCTTCTTGCCCTCTTGCGGAACATACTGGAACTGAAAGCTAGTACGGGACTTTCTGCGCACAAGGGCTCTGTATAGAATCGATCGGAAGACCTAGACCGTCAGTACCTCATCCCAAGTAAACAGAACTACCACCACCAGGCACTCACATTGACCACAAAGCCATCAACCCCAGGAACGACCCGCTGTACCCAAGCCATAAACACAACCAGCACGCAATGCCCCGCGAAAGTAAGATAATGCAATACCCCCGGCCGTCCAAGCCCAAGCTCATCGCAGAGCTCATCCCCATTTATCCACCGACTGCCCGCTTCAATAAAACCCCTAGATACATGGAACGGCGCCGGCAGATTCTGCACGCACTGCACAAAGTTATACGCCACCACGCGCGAAGTCTCCGTTATCCGAAGCTCATGCAGATAGCAGCTCTCCATGGTCGATTTCGCTTTCTCAGCCGTCTGAAAGTACTCGATTGGCGTACCGAGCAGGTAACCCAGGTACCGGAAGAAAGCGATATAGTCATCTAGCTCCCGGGGCGAAGGCTTGACCCCGAACTTGGGCAGCTGGAGCCACATGTGGTTGCAGCTGAAAGTGGTGATGGAGTGAATGGAGTCGAGGGTGTTGATTGGGATTCCGTGCTGGGTGATGTCGTAGTATTCGGGTTTTCGCTCGCAAAGCTTGAGGATTCGCTGTCGGACGGAGGAATGGAGGAGGCGGACGCGGATTGTTGCTGTGTGGCCGTCTCCTCCGGGTTGGATGGCTGCGAGGCTGTGGGTGACTTGCACGAGCCACTGGAAGGTCTCAAACAGTCTGCCGAGGAGCATACGGGTTGAGAACCCACCTGTTCGGACGAGAACTTCGACGACGCCTGAGGCGGCCTTAGGACGGTCAGTGCTATGCCCGCTGCAAGGTGCATGCTAGGAGACGAAAGAGGACGTACCGAGTTTTCCGCCATGAACCCCTGCAACGCGAAGCCGACGATATTAGCAATAGCATACCGGTAGAAGAACCTCTGGCCTCGCTCAAGCTGTTCCCAATCTACCCAGTCTGGAACGGTATGGAGCTCATTCCAGAACTGGGACAGCGTCTCGTCCTCACTGTGGTGGTCTCGAAGAAGAATGTAGAGGTCGTTCGGGGGCGGAGGAGTGCCTTTCGCTTTGCTTTCTTCGAGCAGAGCAGCACGAACCGCTTGGATGCGCTCCAGGGCCGCTGCACCGAGGGTATCGTACTCCTGGCGCAATGGCTTGAGAGTTTCCTGGGCGAGGTGGGTATCAGTCCACTTGAACGAATAGCCCCATTTGCTTATCGTTTCCCCGACACGGGGGGCAGAGTTCGAAGAGGAGGAAGTAGAAAACATACTGCTTTTGCTCTATTCTACATACTCGGGGCTGTCAACAGTTGCAGCTACGGCGTTATATAGACCTATTTCATTGCGTCCCCTGTCCAGCTTCGAGAAGCATTGAGCTAGGTGATGGGCAGAGCACAGCAGAGCAATCCTCTCCAGTCTTTCATGGCAAAGCCATCATGCCGACGCAGCCGAACTCGTTGCATACTAGGCATGCACACGAGGCCATTGCGCTGATCGAAACAAAGAAATGAAGTCCTCTGTCATGTCTCAAGACAAGGAGTTTCCTGCTTTGGAAAGTCAGACGACTAGTGAAGCGCGCCAGAGATTGCTGCTGGAATTTGGAATCGAGGTAGGAAGACCTATACTGTAGCCAATTAGGTACTCCTGGCTCTGAATCGCCCCTATCATGCTTTGTAACAATGAACCTAGCTGAGATTCGGTCATTGAGCGAGGTTATGACCACGTGGAGCAGCGCGAGGTCAGTAACCATCAACTGATAGTGTCCATTGCGAGCATCTGTCGCCACACGAGATAGAACCCATTTCAATCAGTCTCAGACTATGTTGACGATCATCGCGACCATTGCAGCGAGGATGAGAGAGATAAAGAAAAGAGACTTCAGCGCGGCATTAGTGTACCAGTCTGTCGGGATTGGGTCAGTATACTGGTTGAGAGCAGGGAATCTGGGATGTTGGGGTACCTGTCCTTGAGAACATGTTCAGATAAGTTGCTGTGCAAGCTTTGTGCAGCCATTGGCAGCTTGAGTTGACGACCTTGTCATCTTGATCTATGATATTGACATGGATGAGATCAGGATGTAGAGCCCTTTTGGAAATAAGGGTTCAGGCAATGATCTACACAGTAATATTTGCCCAATAGTGGCGCTGGTGATGCCGTCCTTTCTCTCCACAGTGGAGAACAATATCAAGACCATCTTCTTTGTCTTGGAATCCACATGTAGTCGCATTTGAAGCCGAAGCTGCACGTTGAGATAGCACGACATCAAATTTGCGGCTTTGATTGATGGCCACGAAGATCATGGCGAAACGGGGCGAACTCTAACACACTAGTTAGTCAGTGGCAATGAAAGAAATTGGACCTAGCACTATCCTCCGAGTATTGAGTCCAATGACAGAAACATTATTCATTTAACGCTAGTAGGAGTATCTTGAGTATGGTGAGGGGAAGTCAGTCTGGTATTATTGTTGTCCGAGGGAGTTCATTATCGATTTACAGTTCACTCCAATCTGATCGACATGGGACTTCTGGGTATAAGATCATGGTCACTCGTCGCGATGGCTCCTGGTCATGAAGAGAGGAATCAAATTGATTCTACCAGACCAAGCACAGCTTATCTACATCATATCATCTATATTCTAAGCCAAAATGACAGACTTTATGATCCACGAGAACGGAGTCCGGCTGGGAGAAAAGCGGACACCAACCCAAGATACACATATCCCCGTTCATCTGCCCCAATTATTCGTGCTGTTTCTGTCCGAGAACCCTGTGGTCAATCCGCACTACGAAGAGGTGAGGAAGGAATCCGAAGAATGGCTGGCCAAGTCAGTAACCTAGCCCACGATGAACGACCGAATCACCTACTAAACCGTCTGTTTATCCAGTGAATGCTCCTTTGATGAGAGATCACGGCGCATCCTGCATAAAACTGATTTCTCGTACTTCTGTTCCGTCGCAGCGCCGGATGCTGGGCCGGAGGAATTGCGCACTGTGTGCGATTGGGGGAACTGGGTGTTTCCATTCGACGATAGGAGGTCCTTCTCAGCGTTTGTAGACCCGAGTACTAAGCTCATCTCTGGCAGTGTTCGACAACGGAGGCCTGAAGGACGATTCTGCGCGGGCCCAGCAGCTCATCGATAGTTTACTTGCCGGGATGGGGGAGAGTGCTCAGCTGCCCTCTGAGGCAGACAGTCCCCTGGTTCGAGTTCACAACACAGTATGGCAGCGTGTGGCTCAGGCTTCTCCCGTTGGTATGATACAATCAATCATCATCACCCTGCTCGTACTGTCGTACACTACTCATGCAGCCACAGGAGTCCGACGCAGGTTCGCCTCTTCAATGGGAGATTACTGCAGGGGCAGCATAGAACAAGTCCGCACTTGCTCCATGGGCCGCTACCCATCTCTGGACGAGATGCTGGCGTTGCGTAGGCAGTCAGCGGGCGTTACGCCTCTTTTCGCTTTGGTCGAGTATGTCTAAACCCCTGGCATTGATACAGTTCACTCATACCATCAGATACGCGCACAAGCTGGACCTCCCGGACAATGTCTTCGAGTGCAAAAGTATCAAGGAGATAGAACGTATTGGAGTTGACCTTGTTCTTCTGTAAGTCTCCCATTCCCATCTGATCATGATCGGATGCTAAGTGGACAGACAAAACGATATACTCTCCTACTGCAAGGAAGAGGTAACCTCCTAATCCTCCATCATCGACACTTATAAATAATACTGATGTGCAACAGAAAGAAGGCGTAACGCACAACGTCGTCGCGGTATGCCGTCACTCTGGCATGCCGGCGCAAATGGCATTCAACCATATCGGCAATATGCTCGTCGCTCGGTATAGGGACTGGTATCTTGCATTGGCCGAGCTTCCGAGCTGGGGTGAGCATGTCGATGCTCAAGTGCAGCAATATATTCGGGGCGTGCAGAATGTCGTGACGGCTAATTTGAATTGGAGGTATGTACAAAATAGGTTGCTTAGTATCTGGCTGACGCTTTCGATTGTAGCTTTCGATCAGGACGGTACTTTGGAGATGCAAAGGATACTGTGCGACGCTCCATGATTGTAACGGTCAAGCGGCAAAGTGCAGATGTTTGATGGTGGTGTGATTTTGCGTCGATGTCTTGTTCTATGCACCTTGTTGATACGAGATTTACGCCACGGATCATTTTGTAGACTCCCAAATGGTACATTAAAGCAAAGTATTAAGCATCGAGTACGTATAAAGTACAGATGAACTAACATGAGAATGAAACCAGTACTCCAGTCCTCCACCCATCCCTGCCACCATAACTAGACCTATCCGGACATTCCATCCCATGACTCCAATAATGGTGTACCCCAGATTCTCATTAAATACCAATAGATTTTTCCCCAGTCATCCCAGCCTATTTTCCATCGACATTAGATCATCGAACATCGTACATCATTGGCACAAATGCGGACCCTCTCAGCATTGACGGTTGTCGTTACAGTCGTATGAGCTGGTAGAGAGACGTCCGCTACCGATAACTAACCACTCATTAGAGCCTTCGTCGCCAGAAATTAGGGCAACATACAGTCACTGCATTAGACCTGAGCCATGCTAGGGCGACCACGAGGAGCACGACCGGTCCGGCTGCGGAGGTCGGCAGTAGAACTACGAGCCTGAAGGATAGAGATGATAGTCGAAGCCATGTATCCAGCCCAAGCGAACCACAGGAACGCAACGGAGGCCTGAGCCTCACGGCATCGCTTCTGACGGTTGTGTGCGCCGTTGGTGATCTCGTTGTGGAGGGTGTAATTCTAGGCTCGTTAGTCGCTGAAAACCCTGGGTACGAACGTCGCAACGTACATCGTTGGAGCAGGAGTGGCATTCCAGCTTAGCAGCCAGTGCGATTGCACTGGTCAGGAAGAAGATGTTGTTCAAGACATCGAGCACGATCATGATGATGGGGTGGATGGCCCAGTTAATGTTGATCGAGGCGGGGACGAGGTAGAACAGCGATACGATGGAGAATGTGGCAGTGAACATGCTGTAGTTGATCGTGGCGGGGTTGCCTGCGAACGCCATGGCGATGATGTTACCGATCAAGGCCATGACGAGCAGTGAGAAGACGAACTGCACAGTACTCGCTTGTTAGCTATTCGTCCGATGTCTCTGTCCAAAGACGTGGCGGCCGTAAATGGAAGTTTACACGTACCTCCCATACTCTCAGGCCGAGCTGAATTCCTCCGAGGGCCATTTTGACTGGTTTTTCAGCTGGTTGCTGTACTTATCTCGTTCTTTTGGCGAGGTTGTAGTCGCAATTGAGTATAGTTGCCCTAGCTAGTATACTGGGTAAGTCACCACGACGCAAAGGGAAGTAGGTTCGAACACGCAGTCTGACAGGTGCCACGACGGGGAAATTAAGATAACAAGACGCAGATCTGATGCGCTACTCGATTCTAGGGATGAAGAATATTTTATTCTGTGCGGAATGTCCGGAGGCCGAGAATGACGATATGTTGCGGAAATGGAAAATATGCTACGTCATGCATGGGAGCACGATCATGAAATCACCAGTACATGGAAGTTGAGCCACTGTCTGGTTCAATCAGATTGATCTATTGGTCTTAGTCAATATGTAGACATTTACCATCGAGGTTGTCGAGGTAAAAACAAAGCGTGGTCAGGGTCAGTCAGAGAATGATCGTCAAGCAATAAGGGAGCTACAGCCAGCTGTTGGGCGGCAGTACATATGCGCCTGGAGCTTGTACAAGGATATTCTAACATAAGGTAGAACTACTGCACAGTATGCATGACTGCTCAAGAATGGTTCAAGCTCTACAACATCAGAACTGGTAGTCTCTTCCGCCTGAATCCGGTATGAAATGATGATTCCGTCACCATATACTCTGCAACGTTTCGAAGTCAATTCTCAGAGCTTATACTCCTACATAAGCCCTATCACGGTCAACCATGGGACCAAGCGGACTGACTGGCCACCGGTTGAGCCACTCACGATTCTAAGTACAGTGGGCCCTAGCATCCTCATACCTTATGGGTCCAGTTCCTTAATCGATGTATGATCCACTGGTCGAGTCTCGAACCCGTTGTCAGCTCTTCATGGTCGATGCATGCAGTAACCAGTGCAGATCCCGAATCCTGTTCTAGAAAGTCAAACTCTGCGCATGTTCTATCCCAAGAGAAAATTTCTTCTAGGATTGAAAGAGATGAGAATATTGCGCAGATATCATCCAATTTGGGCGATAAGACAAAAAGGTATCAAGCAAAGACCAAGGACATCTATTGAGAACCACTCACATAGGTTACAGAACGGGGGGAAAGGAAAAAGGAAAGGCAGCCTCTCATAGAGTAGAAGCTTCCGCAGCTACGGGAATCTCCTTCTGGGCCAGCTGCGGCTGCGGCTTCATAAACGCAGAGAAGAAGCGTTCCATGTCCTCATAGTCATCCACTTCACCGAGCCAACTGACGTACTGATCAGGTCGGACAATAACACTCGCTCCACGTCTGGGATCGATACCGTAGTTCTCGTACGCCTTTCCATGACCCTCGTGGTAGGATTGATCATCCACAAACACCTTCCAGTAATCCCATCCTTGCTTCTCGCTATACGGATGGAATATTTCGGGGAGGTCTAAGAGTTCAATGTTTGTGCGGGGTCCGGCATGGACAGTCAGGACTTCGATGACACTGTCGATCGGCTGCCCAGGTGGCGTATATTGGCGAAGGAACGAAGTCGGACTGCTGAGCTTCTCTCCCAGCTGGCTATAGCGGCCGAAATTCTCGCTGTTGGTAAGGTCACCGGCGAAGACAATCACGCGCCATCGGCCATTACTCTTCAGCAGTTCCTGGAGATGCCATGGCCGAGCATCGGATTGGTTGAGCACCTTGAAGCTCGGCATTCTCATGCCAACCGAGATTCCGGTTGACAAATGTTGCTTGCTGACTACCCGGAGGCTTTTGTCTTTGCTTGCGACGTCCGTGCCATCGCCTTGTTCGCCGGAGTCTCCCGCCTTTGCAACGAGGAGGCTAGAGCCGTAGTCGACAGCTGTTTCGAAATGGTCAGTCTGAGTAAGCTCGAATACTGAGAAGCAACTGCATTGTCTTACCAATACCACTTGCAAACATGTTTCCTTTCTGGAACGCCATCTTGAATTCTTCCATACTGATCCCCTCCTCATCCATGACGTCTTTGGCTGGACGTCCGGAGAAGAGGCGAGAAAAGCGATAGTCGAAGTTGATTAGGTCTTGAGCGATGCGTCTTCTTTCGGATTGGTAGGTCTTGAGGATTGCGCTGTCGCTGTAGCCTTTGACCACATGGGCCAACTTCCAGCCCAAGTTATAAGCTGAGTGGTCATTAGTAAGTTTCGAGCAATCACCACGGAGGATAGATATGCCACTCACCGTCCTGCATACTTACGTTCATACCCTGACCAGCTTTTGGTGAGTGGGTATGCACTGCATCGCCAGCCAGGAACACACGTTCCTCTAGCGAAAACTGGTCTCCAACCCGCTGACCGATCTGATACGCAGTCCACCAGTCGCAGTACGAGTAGTCCAGCTTGTATGGATGAAGAATGCGTTGTGCAGACTTGAGAATCATATCCGGTGTGATCTTCGAACGATCCGCTTTACCACCTCCAGTGACAGTTGACTGCAACTGAATGTATAGCCGAACGAGTTTGTTCTCGCGAGGAATGACCATCACAGACCCCGCGCTCGCAGAATGGATTGCACAACGCATTCGAATGTCCGGAAAATCGGTAATGGGAATGATATCGAGCACACCCCAGATGTAATCTGTCGAATCTCCTTCCAGCTTGAACCCTAGTTGGCGTCTGACCCACGAGTGGGCACCATCGCAGCCAACCATGAACTTCGCCTTGACAACCTGGGTCTGATTTGCACGGCTATCCAGCTCAGCTGCTCGTAGCATGTCGTCCGTGTCATCCGGGGAGAGATTGCTTCGGAACAAGCCATCGCTAACAGCAGCGCCGTTCGTAGCCTGTTGCTGCTTCGGGGTGGCCTCTTCCTCTGTCAAGGTGCGCAAGGTGACAGTGATGGGGTAGTCATTGAAATCGGCAGCTTTGGAGGCATCGAATTCAAAAGAAGTGGGCATTACGCCTCTTTCCACGGTAATATTGCTGTGCTCCTTGATGGAGTCAAGGAAGAACCGTTCAATGCGACCTTGATGAAGCACGACTTGCTGGAAGCGACTGAGGCCAGGGATAGTATCCGGAATACGATCAGATCGACGGATGATGCCGTCCTTGTCAGGGTTCCAGAGGCAGATTTCCAGCATGTGGTTCGATTCTCTCCAGGCCCGGTGGGCAAAGTCAAAGGAATCAAAGATCTCCAGTGTCCTGCACTGGAGCCCGTCTGCTTGGCCGCTGAATACCTGTGCAAGGAATGAGTAAGTCTTCAATGTGAGATCAAATGGACCAACCTTCGTACTACGCTTGTCCACAATGCGAGTCTTGATTCCTAATCGGCTCATCCAGTTTGCCAACATGAGGCCAGCCGGCCCAGCCCCGACAATGAGCACATCAACATGATCCTCAGGCTGATTCAAATTCGTCATTGTATCGAAAGTAGAGTATAATAAGTTTGCATGTGTTTATTAAGAAGTATATTTCTGCGCCTTGCAATCCTTTCCGAGAAGCTATGGTCTGCGACGGACAAACATGGCTTCCATTTATATTCTCAGCGCCATGCATAATGCGCCTCCTCTGAAAGCTGAGGTCTTCCCTTGATCCGATGAAAATATAAAGTTCGAATCCGATGTCAATCCGACATAGAGGGTCCTCGGCATTTGTTGGTGCTTCCGAACAAACGCCGCAATGCAAAGCCGGGGACCAACCCCGCAAACTGGAGAGCCAGAATGTGGAGTTGTAGATGTTCGACTAACAGCTCCAATAACCTTGGCTCCCGGCCCAATCTAAGTTTCTTGATCGTCCATCTAGGCCACGTTCCGACGATAAAATATTCGGATGGCTGCCAGTATGACAGGTTGACTCTCTTCCATTTCGGAAGCTCGTTCAGTTGGAAACATCGATAAAGCCATCAAATGGGTAGTTGTGCTGTGAACAAGAAGTATCTGCGATTTATAGAGCTTTCATCTTGGACCGGATTGTCCGAATAATAGTCTTCAAGCAAAGATTCAACTTCAGCAAGCTCAGGGGTGTCCTAGAGGAGCTGAGAGTAGTGGCTTTTCGGATAGTGTCATTTCAAGCATCAATCGCTCCTGGAAGAACGCTGAACATCAATGTTCCAGTGGTAATGAGAACATCTAGCTTTGGTTTAGACTCCAGGTTCATCAATGTAATTCACAAGATGACTTGCATGAAAGTTTAGGTAGAAGGATTACCTATTTCGATACCATGTATTTGTACGGAGACATTTTAGGACACCTAGGTTGGCTTAATTGACAGAAGTGATACAGTCTTCTGCGGAGGGATTGTCAGTAGGTACTCTAAAGCCTAAGATATATATATAGTGGCACAGACCAGGCGACCCAGGTAAGACAACAAGATTGCTTGAATACTTGCCATTTAAAACCAAGAAAATAAAGCTTTCTCTTATGTGTAAATAGGCAATCATTAATTGTGATTATGTGACTGTGAGAACTGCGACAGTCGCAGCAAAATTGGCATCAAGCATGACTTGATGTCTAGTACTCTGTATATGGACGACCTGCTTGAGGAGATACATGCACCTTATTCAATTAACCAGTATATCCAACTGAGGAGGATATGCTTACACTCTACTTTTGGTGAGACCTACTGAGATACACATAGTGAGCTGAATAATATCAGCATCGTAAAGCTCTAGAAGGCTACCTAGGTTGGGCTCACTTGGATAGCAATCAAAGGGGCTGGTTTACTCCGTAGATGGCAGAGGGACACTGCAGCGGTGGCTGGTGAATCTCCCAGAATTTGTGCCATCAGGGTAATAATTCTGTTCAATACATTCTATTTGCCCTTTGTCAATCTCAGCCAGGAGAATTATTCGATTATGTGCGGATTAGCTCGCCAAAGAATGTGGTGACATGAGATGTTCCTGAATAATATCAGCGGGGCAATAATTTCCCCCCCATCGGCCACACGGGCCCGCGCAAATAATTTCTCCAGCTCCTCCTTCGACCTAAAGTTGTCCACAACCCAGTTGTGGCATTTCTTTTGCTATCTCATTACAACGCAGAAAACATAATGGCAATTCAGTAAGGCGTTCTTGCCGAGAGGTTCGTCTACTGTTTATGACTCAGACTGACAGTCCCCTCTCAGTTACCTGATCCTGTTGTCGCGGCAAGGCAAAGTGGTATGCCTCGTGGCCCACCCAGTTCCTTGAACTTGATCCCAGAGCTCCTTGACTGATGGAAATTTGCTTCTATCCAGCGTCTTGCCAAATGGTTTACGACTCTCTCGCCTAAGGAGAAGGCCAAGATTATCAAAGATGTGACTCAGCTCGTCCTGTCCCGTCGCACCCGGATGTGCAATTTCCTTGAGTACAAAGGTACGCTCCTTTCCCCCAGGAATTGCCTTCGTACACTGCAGCATCAATGAATTGACTCTTGTCGTATTCGTTCTCAGACACCAAGGTCGTCTACCGCCGTTATGCCTCCCTCTTCTTCATCGCCGGTTGCGCTTCCACCGATAACGAGTTGATCACCCTCGAAATCGTGCATCGATATGTTGAGCAGATGGACAAGTACTACGGCAACGTTTGCGAGCTCGACATCATATTCAACTTCCAAAAGGCATATTTCATCCTCGATGAACTCTTGCTTGCGGGCGAGATGCAGGAGAGCAGCAAGAAGAATGTGCTCAGGTGTATCAGTCAACAGGATAGTCTGGAAGATATGGAGGTGAGTTGATATTCCCTGACATCCAGGATCCCTTGTCTTCACACCCACCGCAATGTATAGAGGTTGTGAGCCAATGAGTCTCATATCCTCTACTCCATCCGCTTCTCCTGCCTCCGATCACGTTTATGTGCCCGAGGCCTTCTCCAATAACACTCCCATTGCACCTATTTTTATCATACATATTTCCCTACATCTCCGCATATATCGCTCTTCGTTGGGTCTTCCTAGCCTCATCCGATGTGAACACGTCACATGTCTGAGTTAGGCTAATGTCGCTCCTCTTCCAGGTTGAGGAAGATGTGGTTACGAAGATCATGTAACAACTGTTTGACAAGCGAGCATTTCCCTGTTCATACTGTTTTCTTTGGGTTTTCGCTATCCGGATTTTCGAGGGCAGTTCTACAGGCGTTTGGACGTACATAGGCGTTGTCTTCTACTACGCGACTTCAGGCACTAATTAATACTACATTGGCCAGTTCCAGGAATCAAAGGAAGTGATCGCCAATTTATCCAACGAAGGGCTCATGTGAAGTCATTCGTCATTTTCTGGGTCTGCAACAGTGTTTCCTTTGGACCCGTGAAGTAAGTGCGTGATATCACTGGCCGGTCGCAGTTGCCACGTGACTACCCTCCCCCCCTTCAGCCAACGCGCAACTGGATCACCCCGTATCGCTGTTCATCAATCAGTCCCCTCTTAATCCCTGTTTCATCCTCAGATCCATTTGATTCTTCTGAGAGGGGTTGTCTCAGCAAACAAATCTCATTTGAGACATTCACAGCCGCGCTCTATCGGCCTATTTATTCGTGGCTTCAGCTGCCAACGCAACCGTCCTTATCTCCGATCAGCGGTCAGTCCACCACGACGACTATCTCGACATCATCCGCGCAGATATTCTCTATCGCGTCGGATCAACCTCTTTCTGTTGTCTTCGGGTGAACCAGAAGTGACGAATTGATATCTGGCTCTTGCCTCAATACTCCCAGCCGCCGTCGCTTCTTATCTCCTCAGACAGCACTTCTTTGACAAAGATGAAGGTGCGCATTCCACATTGCGCCGAGACGCACCTTCACCGCGGGGATTGTTCTGTTATGCTGACATAAGGATCTTAATAGTATCTTCCTATTCCCGATCTCGAAGACGTCGCGAATTCACTTAACTTCGATACGGACGATTGTCACATTGTGGGTGGATGCGACCTGTATACGACAAAGGCTGCTCGCGCCGACCGGAAACTGTACAAGAACATTGAACAATCACTGGAAGCCCAATATGAATCGGTCCTTCGCCTCTCTGCCTCACTTTCACCTCCCAATGCATCCGATGCGGCTGCGTCACTCAATTTGTCGCGCTCGAGTCCTTTTGGTCCCCTGAGCGATCACTCCAGTCGCCGGACTTTCGCCTACTTGATCGCAACGCTCAATGCAAGCCATCCCGACTATGACTTTTCGCACGTTTTGCGCCCTTCGGATTTTCGTCGCGAGAGAAGCCTGAAGAGGGTTATGAACACCGTGGACTCAACTCTGTTTAACCTGAGACCTCGCGAGTCGATTGACATGTCTCCTCCGTCTCCGGCGACGATATCTGGATCATACAACAGCGCAGCATCTCATATTTGGGGCCCGAGAATGTGGAGAACAATTGATGAACATATGTCATTGAAGGAGTGCTCATACTATTCGTACTCGCCCGACGAAGACCCGTCGGATGCGGATGACGGTGCGATCTGGAGCCTGCACTACTTCTTCTTCAACCGCCTTCGGAAACGTGTCTGCTACCTCTACATTCGAGCGATCCCCATTCTCAGTCACACACCCGAAGAGGGTGATGGACTTCCCACCACACCCACCGGCAAGCGAACGTTTGATGATGTCGATGTATCCCGGTACATGACGCCTGATCTGATGGGTTCAAGCAAGCGAGCTCGTTACTGGCTCGGAAATCGCGCGAAACTCGAGATCGAAAGTGAGGAGGAAGGTTCATCCCCGCCAACACGCCCTGTTGTTGATGAATACGACAATTACGTGCTTAGCGACGAGGAGTTTCGATCGAGATCAGGTAGTAAGGGAACAGTTCGCGCCATGAGTGAGGAGATTGCCGACCAAATGGAAGTCTAGTTCCGATTTAGTGGATTGACGACCTCTTCTCTTCTTTGTCCATTTTCATGATTGTTTCTACTCCTTTCTTTTCTTGTTTATCTTTCCACGGCGTTGGCTTGATTTTACTCTGCATTCAACCTGCATGTTCTGCGGTGAGGGGCGTTTGGTGACCGGCAACGGCGGTACATGCCTCTTGTCGTAATGAGTGGTTTCAAGACTTGTTCTTCAGATTGATTCAACCTTGATAATGATTTTGATGCACTGCATAGCTTGAAACCTGGTCTGGCACACATGGGTTCATTCTAATTACTGCAGCAGTGCTGTTTTCACGTTATGTTGCGCTATGCACTGTAATCCTATTACAATGGAATCTGTTCAGCTTCGAATTTGACGTAGATTCCTGGGTTCGCGAAAGTGACGATAATTTGGTAGTCATTATGACATGATTCTGAGAGTGAACATGGTATAAGAAGCAGTTATCCATCTTCCTCGGTCGAGAGGCCGTGTAATTTAGAAGAATCTTTTGCTCAATCTCAAAGAGGATTCGGCGATCCAGTATACATAATGATAGGAAATGCATACACTATCATCCCTCTGGCTATCACCATCCGTCGTACCAGATGTTCCATCGTACCTAGATGTTTTGGAGCTCTTACCAATTCTGTCATGAGATAGGACCAAAGGACCACTCCTGCATATGCATCTCATCCAATAGTCCCCACGACGAGATGTCTATTACCGAGTGGAAAATCCATGCTTGACCTGCTAGCTCGAGGGCTTGTCACTGATAACTTTGAGGCTGATCTTCCCCGCACGGGGTCTGTGAAGTTTGGCTTTCAGGATGTGATACACTTGTAATGAGCAATATCTTTTTTGTTTGCGATCTTAGATGTGCAGAATGGTTAGTATGCTTGCGGGAAGAAGGAGTTTCCTTTCGTAAATGTACAGAACCGTAGCTTGCTGTAGTCAAAATAACTACGTCATGATATAGAAGTGGTGATAAAATCACGTGACGACAGGTCGCTGCCCATTCTATCAATGAGTGGAAAGGTTCGCTTACTCTTTTTCTTCCCTTCTCGGTCAGGATAACCCTGTTCTTTTTCTATGTGGATGATGATGAGATATCGTCCCAATTAATGATATCTTTAATGTACCACTAGATCTCTTCTAGGCGGAGCAAAGTGACATCTTTGGGATGATTGATCTGAGTCCCTTACTTATTGAATAGAGATATACGTTCTAACAAGAATCGACTTGGGGATTCGTATTGGCTTAGAGCTATCTGAACATATATAGAGCATGTCCTAATCGTGATTCATGATGGTCAAGGGAAGCCCAGTAGGGTTATGTATGGAGTTCGACTGGAGTAGTACTTAAATGGCCGTGGTCCGTGCACGCCTGGTTGATCGGGGAAAGCTGTCCGTTCCGTACACAAACACCTAGATAAGACCTCCTCCAATTCCTCCCCTACAACAATCATCACTGCGAATATCTCGGACGATCATACGCGATGGCGGACGAGGAGGAGCGCATCAAGGCCGAGAAGCTGGCTGCTGCGAAGAAACGAGTAAGCCTAGAAAACCGACATGCGGATGACCCTTGAGGGACGATGACTGACGCTGATACTCTTTCAAACAGGTAGCGCAGCTCCAGAAACAGAAGAAAAAGGCCGGCAAGAAGGCTGCCACCACAGAAGCCCCCAAGGAAGCCGACGCACCGAAAGAGGCCGCTGCGCCTACCGAAGAGGGCCCCGCAGAAGCCCCCGCAGAGGTGAAGCAAGATGAGCCTGAGTCAACAGAGAAGGAAGCACAAAAGGAGGAGGAACAGCAAGCGGAGCCGGAGACTGAATCGAAACCAGAACCTGAAGTTGAACCCACAGCTGAGCCGGAAAAGCGCCCTGAGTCGCCAGTCGAACCCATGCCCGAGGCGCCTACATCCCCTTCCCCAGGGCCGGATGCCGAGCCCCAGACTCCGGACGTTAAACTAGATACCCCGCGCGCGGGTCATACTCGGCAACCGTCTCTTTCAATTCAGTCCAAGATGCGCTCGTCGTCATTCCGGAAAGGCTCCGTCTCTCAAGGAAGTGCTTCGACGTCTCCGTCGAATGCCTTAAAGTCGCCCTCTGTGCCCTCTTTGCCTCCTTTGACCGGCAATGGTGACTCCGTGCATGAGGTTTATCGGAAACAGTCGATGCGGATAGAGGAGCTGGAGAAGGAGAACAAGCGACTAGAGAAGCAACTGGAAGAGTCAACGAGTCGCTGGCGGAAGACGGAAGAGCAGCTCGAGGATCTTAGGGAAGCGAGCGTTGATGCGGCGGAGTTGAAAGATAAGTTGGAGAAAGCCGAGCTGAAGGCGGCGGAAATAGACGAACTGGTGTGTTTTATCTATCGAAGCAATCATTGTTAAGATGGTTACTGACCTAGTCAACAGAAGGCAGAGATCGCCTCTCTACAGAGGCAGAACTCGCATCTTCAAAATCGGTCACATCGCAACAATGCTAGCATATCCGTACCAGCTCCTGCAGAGTCGCCTCCTGCCGACCTCGTACAACAGCTTGAGTCCAAGTCAGCTACCATTGAGGCTATGGAACTGGAGATTTCCAATCTTCGTGCACAGCTCTCGGAACAGTCGTCATCCAGCAGTGCTCACGAGGCTCAGGTAGCCGCTTTGGAAGAGAGACTCTCTCAGAGTGAATCCGCTCTGGAGAAGTCTCAACGAGAGCTTACAGATACCAAAAATGCCCTGACGCGAGCCTCCGAGAAGGCAGTCAAGGAAGGAGTAGACAAGACTTCTACAGAGACTCTAATCAAGAACCTGCAGCGGGAGATCGAGGAACTGAAACAAGAAAGGTCCGAAGCAGAGAAGAAGATCGACACACTAGACAAGAAACTCCAAGCAATGGGAAATCTACACAAAGAGTCCGAAACCCGCCACCAGGCCCGCCTGCGCGAGAGCGAAAAGACCGAGAAAGAAGCAGCAGTTCTACGGAAACGGCTCGCAAGCGTCGAAAACGAGAACCTACGACTGAAAGAAGACCTCGAGCGCCTCAGGAAGCGCGAATCCGGCGGCACAGACGACGATGCCCTCGACGAGCTGGAGGACGAGGAACGGTCGCGCCTGGAACGTCGCATCCGCGACCTCGAAGGAGAGGTCTTTGATCTGCGTCGTGGCGTCTGGAAGGAACGGCGTGACGAACTCTCAACCACGGACCAAGGAGGCTATACGGCGCCAGATACCAATCCGGCCGCCAACGCCTTCGACGACGTGGACCTCGTCGGCGGCTCGTCCGCCGACCACGCGCGCCGCCGCAGCATGGCCCAGCAGCATTCGTCCTTCTCCACTGTCCTCTCGAGCGGCCTCGCGGCCTTCACCGGCGGCTATGGGAACCGCAGTCGGGCGTCCTCAACCCAGCAGCATCCGCCCGCTGCGCGTGGCAGTCTGGAACTCCTGTCCGAGGAGAACTTCGAGGATGAGTTCGACGAGGCAGAGTTTGCGCGAGCGCAGGCCGAAGAAGAGGCGCGGAAGCGTGTGGAGTGGGTCCGCGAGATCAAGGGGAAGCTCAAGGACTGGAAGGGCTGGCGGCTGGATTTGGTGGATAGTCGGGCTGGCGCGGAGGGAGCCGGTGTGGGTATGGGTGAGATATTCGAGATTTAGATCTGATGTCAACATACGTTAGAACCTCCAGCTTCCTGACAACCTTTCTCTTTCGGTTGATCTACATCGAGCAATTGCAGCCAGTGTCTTGACTGGCACGGCGACTTCTCAAATTACATTACAATAATGATTACGCTAAGAATATAATGAATGAAATATACTCGTTCAGGCTAAGAAAAATGGATATCCCATGCGTATGCAACGATGCAATATTTGAACACAGACACCAGCACCGAAATGTCCCAAACCGACGCAAGCAAAAGACAAAGCACCAACTGAACACATGCACATCTAGAACAAGCCTGAGGCAACATCGACTGGATTCAATCCTCGTGGCGCCCTGTAAGAACACCCTCCGATTGCCCCCTTCTCCTCCTGCCGAGCAGCTCGCCGACCCAACCTGACATCTGATATAACCAGCCACCCGTCACCATAACCCCGGAAACGGTATTCACCAGCCGCACAAGCAAGGACAAGAAACTGGTGCGCTCCTCGCTAATCATCAGCAGGATGGGCTCGATGTTGTACTTGAAGAAAATGCCCGGGATGAAGTAGGGGTTTTCTGGAATTGCGCTGGACTGGCTGGTGGCGGCGTACTGGTTGGTGAAGATGAGGTTTTTGCTGTAGCGGTTTGTGGGCGGAGCGTTGGCGTAGGTGTCTAGCGCGAGGTTGCCCTTAGAGTATATGGTTGGCACGATGGAGAGGAAGTACTGATACTTGTAGTAGTGGTCTTCGGTTGTGGCGATGGTTTTGTCGAGGGGGTTGAGGAGGGTGGGATAGTGAGGGCCGAAGGAGAGCTCGGTGATCATGTGGGAGAAGTTGAAGGCTGCGCGAGCGTCAATTGAATTCGAATGAACACGAAGCCAAAAAGAACGTACTCTTGTGCTCGAGATGAGGTGCGTTGTTATGGTATCCGTGTCCCTTCGCGGTAATGTGGAAATCACCCTGGACCTTATTCCCCTCCAGACTGCCGTAAATCCGACACGAGTCAACAGCATCTCCCCTCCGCAGCTTGGGACCCTTGGCGAACTTCTTCCTGGGATTCCTCCGCACCTCGCCGAGAACATGGTGCACATGCGCGTCGGCCTCCTGCTCCGATAGACGATCTGCGTGCTCCTGGCTGAGCGTCTGGTATTCGTGCGCACCGCCGTAGATCTCGTAGTTGCGCTTGTCCATCCACAGCTGCCAGCTCGTGCGCTCACGTTTCAACAGCTCACCGGCAAGAACGCGGTCGCCTGAAGCGTCCTGGATATTCACATCCAGCGTGTCACAGGGCATGTGCACCACAATGTCCAGGTTCAGCTGCAGGTCATGGGAGATTCCCCTTTCAACGCTGAAGTGCTGCTTCTCGGTGCCTTTGAGCC